CCTCGAGGGTGAGTGGCGGGGCTCCCGGGAGCCCCTTCTCCCCGAGGAAGTGGGGGCGCCTGCTGCCGGGAGGGAACGCCTTAGGGGTGGCGTGCTCTGTGGGGCGTTTCCCGGGCACCGCTCTGCCCAGCTCCCTGCGCGCTGGGGCCCGGGCATCCTGAGGACACCGCCTCTCTGGTGCCGTGGGGTCGTCCTGGTGAGCCCCGGAGACCCTGGGCCGGCGGGGGCCGAGGCGCTTTGGCCCTCTCCCCCGACTGCGCCCTTCCCGCGCCCCTGCGCTCGGGCGCCCGAACCAGCGGGACCTGGTCTGGAGGTGGTGTCGGTGTGGAAGGCTCCGGCTCGGACGGCTCGTTAGCCGTGGCGCTGCTGTCGTCCCGCCTGCCGCTTCCGAGGGCCAGCGTGCTCCTCTTGGGGGTGCGACAGTAGTGTCTCTGGGCATTTTAGACGACAGGACGTCGGAGGGCCTGTGGTCGGCTCTTTCACGGAGGCCCATGTCATCGCCCAGGGCGGCTCAGTCGCACGTGCACAGCCCAGGCCAGAGGGGCGGGTGCCGGGTGCGCTGCGCTGGCCGGGCTCACGGGGGCGCGGTGTCTTTCTTCCCAGGGTCGGGGTGGACCCCCAGGACTTCCTGCAGGTGCTCCAGAGAGTCCAGCTGGACAGCCACCAGAAACCGGTCATCATGGAGGTATCGGAGTCCCCTCTTCCCCTTGCCCTCCTCGGTCTGTGATCTGGGCTCCCCCTGGAGGTCACGTCGGCCAGCAACCCCGCTTCCGCACGGGGCGTCATTTCAGATCGGCCGGGGCCGGGGCCGGGGCCCCGCCCGGGGGCCGGTGGGAGCCGGGCCCGGCGCACCCTCCTGTCCTGGGCCCTTCCTCCCCTGGGCCCAGCTGACCCCTGCTGACCTGTGTTTCTGTCCTTTGTAGAAGGTGCGTTCCTACGGTGGCGACCTTCTGTCGGCCGAGGAGTTTCAGAAGCTCTTCAACGAGTTTGACAAAAGGGTGATTAAAGAGGTAACTGAGCCACCTGCTTAGGGCCAGGCCACCCGGGGCGAACGGGGAAGTTTACGGTGCGTGTTGGCATTGATCACCCGGGTGACCCTTGGCGTCAGTGCCAGGGATTCTGGCCCTGAGGATGGGGAACGGGAACAGAGGTTGCTGGGCTCTTGGAAACCGAGGAGGTTTTGTTAACCTGATGCAATTCGCAGACCACAGGGACTGGCCTGGGCCAAGCCTGACTCAGGGGAACCTTCTGGATGGGTTTCCCTGTCTGCATGACAGACTCTTACCTACTTCCTGTGTGTCCTTCTCTGGAGCTTCCTGAGTTTGTCCAAAGCGTTTGTCCTTTGTCCTTGACCCTGATTTGTAAAGTCCCCAGACGGGCCTTGGCATCCAGCTCAGCACTGTGTCCAGAAGACTGTCCCGTGTCAGTTATTGGCGTGTAATTTACGTACATTTGTTCACAGAACACTTTGTGTCTGGTGGTAACACCTGGCGTGTGCTCAGGGTCCCCCCCGGATAGTCCCTCGTGGTTTACTTAAGCCGCTTAGTGACCGTTTAGGCTCTCTGCCTCTCTTTTGGTGTTCAAAGACTGCTGGGATGAATGTCTTTGTGCACCTATTTTCGTGTTTGAGATTATTTTCTCAGGCTGGATAGACTGGGATGAGAGAGAAGGGAGGAAAAGTCGAATCCCAGAATAAGGGGGTGTGGACACCGGAGGGTGCCCAGCGGCCACGTGCCCCCCGTAGGCACGTGTGTTTGAGCACACGCGTGTTCCCTCCCCAGCGCCCGCCGCGGCCCGAGTACCGGTCTCCCTTCCTGCGGAGCGCTCAGTTCCTCTTCAGCCACCGCTATTTTGACTACCTGGGGAACCTCATCGCCCTTGGGAACCTCGTGTCCATTTCTGTGCGTGTGCCCTTGCCCTCGTGTGGACGCGGGAGGCGCCTCGCGCCCGCCCCCCCCCCTTGCCCCTGCCCCCCGCCTCTCCTCCCAGCCCCCT